AATTAAGAAAACAACCCCATTTACAACTGTATCAAAAAGAATAAAGTACCTAGGAATAAATTTAACCAAGGAGGTGAAAGACCTATACCATGAAAACTGTTAAGACGCTGATGAAAGAAATCGAGATAACACAAATAAGTGAGGAGAGATGCCATGCTCACGGATTGGAAGAATTAATATTGTTAAAATATCCATACTTCATAAAGCAATCTACAGACAGATTCACTGAAATCCCTATCAAAATATCAATGGTATTTTTCACAGAACTAGAATAAAGAATTTTAAAATTGTATGGAATCACAAAAGACCCTGAATCACCAGAGCCATCATGAGAAAGATGAACAAAGCTGGAGGTATCATATTTCCTGATTTCAAACTATGTATTACAAAGCGACAGCAATCAAAACAATATGGTATTGGCACAAAAACAGACACACAGATCAATAGAACAGAAAAGAGTCCAGAAATACACCCATTCTTGTACAGGCAATTAATCTATGATGAAAGAGGCAAAAATATGCAATAGGGAAAAGAGCCTCTTTAGTAAGTAATGTTGTGAAAATGGGACAGCTATGTGCTAAAGTGTGAAACTGGACCACAATCTTACACCATAAACAAAGACCAACCCAAAATGGATTAAATGCTTGAATATAAGACCTGAATCATAAAACTCCTAGAAGAAAACAGACAGTAAGCTCTTTGACATCAGTCTTAGCAATATCCTCAGGCAAAGGTAACAAAAATAAAATGAGCAAATGGGATTACATCCAACTAAAAGGCTTTTGCACAGTGGAGAAAACTATCAACAAAGCAAAAAGGCAACCTGCTGAATGGGAGAAGATATATGCAAATCACTCATCCAATAGGGGTAATGTCCAAAATATATAAAGCACTTACAGAACCTATTACCAAAAAAATAAACAACCTGATTAAAACAGAGGACATCAAAAGATATTTTCCCAAAGAAGGCATACAGATAATTACATGAAAAGATGCTCAACATCAATAATCACCAGGGAAATACAAATCAAACCACAATAAGATATCACCTCACACCTGTCCAATCAGGTATGTATCAGAAAAGACAAACGATAACATGTATTGGTGATGGTGTGGAGAAAAGGGAACCCTCATGAACTGTTAGTGGGAATATAAATTTGTGCGGCCACCATGGAACACAGTATGGAGCTTCCTCAACAAATTAAAGATGGAACTACAATCCAGCAATTCCATTTCTGGGTAGTTATCTGAAGAAAACGAAAACAACAATTTAATATATATATATATATATATGTGTGTGTACAACGGAGTATTAGTCAACCATAAAGAAAATCAAATCTTCCAATTTGCAGCAATAAAGATGGACCTAGAGGGTATTATATTCTGGGAAATAAGTCAGACAGAAAGACAATTTCTGTACATTTTCATTTACATGTGGAATCTAAAAAACAAATGAACAAACAAATGCTGTTGGTTACTGGAGAGGGGAAGGGTCGTGGGGTGGGAAAAATAAGTGAAGGGGATTAAGAGGTTATCCCATTATAAAATAAATATGTCAAGGGTGTGTAATACATCAGATAGGGAATAGTCAATAATATTGTATTAACTGTATGGTGACAGATGGAAACCAAACTTATTGCATGGATCATTTCATAATATATAAAAATATTGAATCACTAGGAGGTACACTTGAAACTAATGGGAGATTGTCGATTACACTTCAATTAAAATAAACACAAATGTATGTACATACATGATGGGTGGACCTGAAACAACTTATTTTTAAGTCTCTCTTGAATTAACCCTAATCCAGTATCTTTGATTCCTTATAAGGATAGGTATTACACATCACATTTTTAATTTTGCTTCATGAAAAATATTTAAAATATTGCTTCACTGCAAGAAAAAAAGTAAGGGGCAAAATTACTAGAGGTAAGCAGCCCCAAATAAAACACAGAGAATGACAAACTTCAGAATATTTCTAACTTCTATTTATCTAAAATCTAAGCAAATAAAGCTCAGCCAGCTAGAATTTCTTTAGCACATTCTTTACACTTTCATGGACAAGATAAATTGCAAATGAGCACGCTGATTTTAGAGATTTAATAATGAAACACAGGATCATTAGAGATGCAATCCAATTCTCTTCACCTTCTAACAACAAAATGACAAATGGTTTTCAATTAACTAGAATACTCTCATTAATACAAAGTGGAAATTACACCCACTGCTCTGAAAGAAATTTTCACAAGATCTCAAATACCCTTCGAGATAATGCACATACTTTAATCTGTACTTCAGCAATATCCTTAAATCGCTGTAAACTGGAAACCAGAATTTTTGCCACCAGATGTCCAGTTCCTACATGTAAATTCTTCTTTGTAACCAAACATCCTATAAGACTCAAACCCAGACACTGAATTTCTAGAATAAATGGGGAAAAAAACAAAATGAATTGTTTTAAACCTCAAAACTGAAGAAAAAATTTAAAGACATACAACTGACCAGCCAAAGGCTGAGTTCAAACTGCCGACCTTGGTCATCCGGATACATCTGCAGCGTGTGCAGCACCAAATCCATAGCTCCTTCCAGGGGTAACGCCTCCCGCGCATCAGGGAAATGCGCTATAGAAGACAGTACTCTCAATCCACATTTCTGAATCCCAGGATTTCCAATGAACTAAAATCAGAAGGACAATTAAGAGTATTTTCAGTAAAAAATGAGTCAACAGTGACCTTAGTTAAAGGCAGTTACAGATTGATAAAAATAAAATCTAAGTGGTCTAAGATTAGTACCCTTGATTCTGCTTTATGTTGCTTTATTTTTATTTATAATTAAAGAGCTAACATTTTAATCCCTAAAGTCATACAGACTGTGCGTTGCAGAGATGAGACCAGACCAGGAATGTTTGATCCCCTGGTAAAATGCAATCTGCCTTCCCACCACGGGAGATACTATTCGAGAATTTACTCTTCCCTCTGTTTTCACATTCTTTATCTTATTCTACTCAACATCCTCATGCAACGGATTCACCAAACTTTAAAGATTCAGAAATGAAAGTTCCGGTCACACAGCTAATCGGTGTCAGGCCTATAAACACATGGGATCACCTCCAACTAGAAGGCTTTTGCCCAGTGAAGGAAACTATCAGCAAAGCAAAAAGGCAACCTGAATAGACCTGAATATAATACATGTGCCTGCCTTAAAGGCCCAGGATCCTGACCACTACCTCCTCCCAACTTTCCATCTCGATTCCTCCAGATGATGTGACATGTTTTACAGGTAATCTAACGGGGGCCCCTTCTTTTCCAGGCCACCCTACTCACTGACTCAGGAGAAAACACTCAAC